CCCCCTGTCCGCCTGCTGCTCAGGTGAGAGCAGCCCTGGGTCTCAGAACCACTGGCCCTGCAGCTTCCCAGGTCTGGGAGGCCTCCTGAGAGCCCAGAACATCGTCTTCCCCACAGATCCCAGCCCAGCTCTGAAAACACCACTGAAGCCAATGGATGCTTGCCAAACGGGTGAATGAATGAATAAATGACTCCCCTAATGAAAGCCCCTGGGAGAGTCCGTGGGCCTGAAAAGGAAGGTGGATCCCACACTGGTACCCCTGTCCCCTGATATTATGATACAGCTCCTCAATTTCTCTATCTTCCTTTTGCCTTGATTTTTTTGTTGTTGGAATCAAGCCAGACACCTTATTAGAGCAACAAAGGCTGAGACATTTGTTCCTTTTAGAAGTAGCAAAATTTTTCAGTGCCAAATGGCAGGGGAGGAGGTGAATAATTACATTATGTACTAATATAAAAAGAACCAAGCCGGCTCCCTGACCTTGGTATACTGACAAGACTTCTATGGCCCTGATCTCCCACATCCCTTCCTTGGTAGAGCTGATAATTCAACGAGATAATTCTCCCTGGAGATTCTCAGAGCCACAGTGAGAGAGGAGGGGAGTAATAAGTGCTGCCCTATCCACAGTGCCACTGTTCCGCCTCTCGGTGGGACACACACTGAAGCCCACCCCTCCTACCTTCCATACGGGTCATCTGGCCACCAGCACAGGTCAACTCAGGCTACAAGGTATGCTCATGTGCCTAATTTCATGACTACCAACCACCACATGGAACAGTGTTATCTCTATTTTACTGACCAGGAAACAGAGACGTAGGGAGGTAAGTGACTTGCAAGTAAGAGGTGGAGTTAGATGCAAACCCAGATCTTCCAAGTCTAATCTCAGTGTTCTCCACTGCAGCACAGCTGCCACTTAAGAACTGAGTGGGCAGAGGGGAAATGGGACCCCCAAGTTCCAGGACCTCTTCCCCCAGTCTTCTATGTAATACCCTCTCTGAGGCTTGTTTGAGCAGAGGTAGGGCTACCCAGCTACCTGTTCCTCAACAGTCTGTGCAAATTCAAAGAAATGGAGTGTGAGTTCAAGGAACTCATTTAAAGAACAAGAAAAGCAACTTTCTTCTGAGGTTATCATAAGTGAGGGCTGAAACATGGATTAGAAGTCTTGCTAAATTTTCCTCCACCTTCAAATCATTCATTCTTCCTTCCGTTCCCAATGAGGCCCATAAACACATCTTCCTCCATCACTGTTTAATCTGCTGGTTAATGTGTCTGGTGCTCCCAACCAGCTCCCTGACCCTGGAAATGAAATAGTAACTGCATCAGCCTCACAGCCATCTCCAGCCATCTGATGCCAATAGCAAAGCAGGAAGCACTCCCGCTTTTGTGGCAGTTTGTGGATTAGGGCCGGCAGTTCCCTTCTTAAGCCTCCTCTGTCTGGTACGGCTGAGGCAGTAGAAGTTCCTGTCATGAGAAGGCCCGGTTTTAGCACCACAACCCAAAGACCTGGGGTCCTTCCTGTGGCTGTGATCTTGGGAATGGGCTCCTTACTGCTCTTCTTTCACTCTCGTACATAGTGAACAGCAACTCGCTTCAGGTCAGACATCCTGTGGGCAGAAGAAATCATGTCACTTCAATGAGCATTTCTGAGGACCAGCATGAGTTCAACAGGTGCTTTTGGAGGACTACACAGGAGATAAAAACAGACCAAATAACAAATCTGAGGCAGCATCTATAAATCATAAAACACCATATATAATGGCAGCTTCTGAATTTTTACAGATGAAGGGCTGAAGATAGAAATTTGGTTGGAAGATGCCATGGGAACTTCCCTTGAAGCTGTATTTTCATAACACACTAGATTGGAAAAGACATAAAGAATAAGAGGCTGATGGAGATTATGGGGGTGAAGAGATAAAGCTCCGCAAATCATTCTTACCTCTCCTACTAACTCAAGTATCACTATTTTTGTGGCAAGAAGAAAATTAACAAATAGTTAAGCCATGAGCCAAGTGTTTGCAAGTATGATTTCATTTATTTTTCAAAGAAACCCTACGAGTTATCTTTCTCAATGTTACTAAGAAAAAATTAGTTCTCTGTAGAAGTCACATGAAGGGACAGACATCCCCCCAGGGCCAAGGAATGTGTGACCTAATTGCTAGTCTTGACACAGGAAGAATGACTGAGCCCGAAAAGGGTGGAGTCCGAGAGCAGGGTCCTGGCTGACGTTTCTACCTTGTACCTGGGCACCCTGATGCCAGCTATGTTTTGTTCATCTTCACTCTTACTCCTGCCATAGGCCCAGGCCAAGTGACGGTCCCTCACCAGGTGGAGTACATCTCACCACACTTTGTCCCAAGCTCCCACCAAATCGTTACCTGTCCCCTCCTTTATTGTCCTCTACCTCTGGCTTTGATTTATTGTCCATACTAGCTCTCTCTCTTTTAGGCCTAGAGGAAGGTTGTCTAAGGCCATTAACACACACACACACACACACACACACACACACACGCATATCCTCATTTCTTATGTAGAACATTCTATTTCTACACATACCCCCTACTGGTGTTTCATACAAGGTCCTAGCAGGAGACAGAGGTCACTCTCAGGGTGATTAGAGAGTCTAATAAAACAGACATCCACAAAGTTGTGCTCAGGTGTTATGGATTGACTTGTGTCCCCAAAGATATGTTGAAGTCCTAACCCCCAGTGCCTTAGAATATGAACTTATTTGGAAATAGGGTCATTGCAGGTGTAATTAATTAAGATGAGGTCACACTAGAGTAGGATGGGCACCTAATCCAACATGATTTGTGTCCTTATAAGACAGCCACATGAAGACAAAGACACACAGGGAGAACACCATGTGCCAATGAAGGCAGAGATTAGAGTTACACTGCTGCAGGCCAAGCCAAAGAACATCAAAGATTGCCATCAAACCGGCAGAAGCTAGGAAGAGGCAAGAAAGGATTCCTCTGTGGGTTTCAGAGAGAGCATGGCCCTGCTGACACTGTGATTTCAGAAGTCCAACCTCCAGAACTTGTGAGACAACAAATTTATGTTTTTAAACCATCAGTTCATGATATTTTGTTAAGGCAGCTGTAGGAAACTGATACATAAGGGTTATAAGAAACCAAAAAAAGGATGGTAAAGCACCCAAGGGTTGGCAACAGAGAACCACCCTGGCAACTACCACCCCAGGCCTGCAGCATGGAGGGGAGGAGCCTTTACTGAAACCTGCAGCTGTTGGGGACAAGCTGTGGCTTCTGGTGGAGGAAGGCAGCCATGGCCAACCCACAGCCTGGCAGGCAGGAGTCTGGGCTAATAAAGCCCCAACTCACTCTCCTCCTTCTCTCCAGTTTCCCAATGGTGCCTCCCATTGGTTAAACCAAATGGGATGCCAGAGAGCAAGGGAGCTGGGTAGACGCTACCTACTTAGGCCAGCCTCCTAGAGTAAGAAGTAGAGTGGACATGGAGGGGCAAACAGACTCAGTCCCAACTGCAAAGTCACCTCCTCTTCAGGGAAGCCTTCCCTCCCCCTCTGACCAGAAGCTGGCCCCTCTAACATGCTCTCGCAATCCTTCTGCTTCTGCAGAATACTTATTACAGCTGCAATGGAGGAGCTAATTGTACAAATTACTAAGTGATGACTGGCTGTCATGCTAGAACACAAGCTCCATGAGAGAAGAGACTGTGTCAGTCTTTGATCAGTGAATCCTCAGGGTCTGGCACATAGTAAGAATGACTAGATTTATAGGATGTGCCAAAAGCCAGGCAACCTGATTTAAAAAGATCAAGTACATAAATCCAAAGAGGTTGCCCTTGGCAACTTTCAAAGAACTATAGAGCGAGGTCACCATTACATTCTGCAGGTGGGTACTGACGGTGCAATTTATAATATCAAGGAATGTGACCGGCTTGGGCACTTCCTTACAGTCCTCCTGGAGTGGTGGGGGGGATGGGCAGCTGGGCAAAGCAAGGCGAGGCAGAGGTGGGTAGGGAGAGCATCCACCATTGGGCCAAGCAAACTTGAGCAGCTCCTATCTTAATTTGGGGGGGTGGGGAGTATGGTCCCAATCACACTGGGGAAATCAAGAAAGCTTAGGCAAGTCTTTCCCCCACCAACATGGGAATTCAGGTTACGGACTCATCCTCAGATATGGGATGCCACCTTTGCCCTTGCCTTTTTGCTTCCAGGTGACCCTCTTCCCAGCTTCTGCAGCACTCTCTAGTTCTATTAATTTACCAGTTTGATTTCAAAATTTCAGTTATTGTCCTTTAAATCCAAAACTGTGGGTCCCAAAATTCAAACAATCCTCTCTTTTGAAGTGCGTATACATTTAGGCCGTCATACGCTGGGACGTAGTGGTGGTTTCGGTGGTTTCTAAGGTTTTTTTTTTACAATATTTTGCTTCAACATAGGTGATCTAATAGCCCTTCAGAAAAGAAGATAGATGAGCTCAATAAAGATCAGGAAACTCTGGCTCAAATTTTTAAGACAGTGTTTCATTGGATTGCTCTTTTACGCATGGGCGAATCACCCTTACCCAACTTTGCCTAGAGGGAGTTTGCAGTGAACACAACAATCGTTATAGCATCCTCAGTCTCTGTGCACATACTATTGATCTCCTCGTTTGATGGTTCTTTTGATTACAGCTGTAAACGTCAATAATTCTTCTTCTTTGTATTAACTGTTAACATCACCACAGAGTATCCAACACATATATCTGCTTTGAAAATGGAACAATAATATCAAGTTTAACTTCTAGGGCAGGAAGCAGAAACCTTGTAATCAATCTTGCTAGCCTCCTCTCCACTGGCCTGACTTACCTGGACCTCATGCTCTGTCTTGAAGGTGACATTGTCATCCTAGGCAGCAGGCCCCATGAACCTCCTCTGATCAGCACGACTCCTCTGGAGAACGGAACAGCTGCCGACAGGAACTGGTTTCCCCAGGCACAAGTGCGTCACAGAGGAAGTGTCGACTCAGAGGAGGGACCAGCCAGAAGGCGAGTTGGCAGGCAGAGCTCTCCCTGAGTGAGCCATGCAGATCTGCTCCCTCGTCCATCTCTCCCTCTTCTGTGCAGGTAAGACAAATCTTGGAACCTCAGCCACACAAGACTCAGCAGCAAAGAGGCATCGAGGCTGCCAAAACCTGGTACTCAGAGACATTGCCCCTTACTCAGTGATCGCAGCCCCCAGTCCTCACTGAGCCCCTTCTCTTGTGTCTTTTCTCCCAGGAGTAATGCCAGCCATTGTGTTGGTGCCTGAAAACCAAGCAGTGACTGTGCCCGCAGGGGGGTCTACCACCCTCAGGTGCTCCATGGAAGGAGCACCAATCGATCACTACTACATAAACTGGTACAGGAAGACCCAGGACAACACACTGACTTTCATATACCGAGAATCGAACATCTATGGCCCTGGTTTCCAGGGCGGTTTCCAGGGTGGTAATGATTTTGACAAAAAGCAGGCTTTCCTGAGGATTCTTAAGGCATCAGAGAGTGATGAAGGATTTTACTACTGTGCCTGTGACTCCCACCCTGCTGCAGGTCTACTTCTGAGCAGCTCAAAAAACATTGAGATCCATGCAGAACAGCAGCTCCAGAACATCATGACTTTCTCTTGAATAAATAATTTAAGAAATGGAGGTCAAAAAAAGTTGGTGTTCCTGCCTTTCCTGCAGGTTCAGTCACTCTTGGCTTGCCCATGCACTCGCATGGCGCTCAGACAGGCCACCCCCCATGGGGTGTGGCCCAGTGTGGGGTAGAAGAAGGGAGAGGGGAGCCAAAGGATGGATGCGAGGCCCCACCCCTCACATTCTGTATGGCTTTGATGACCACTGACTGAATTTGGTATTTTGTCCTGCCTTTCTTCTCTGTCTCTTCACTTTTTCCATATGTGCTAAAAACAAAACATTGAAAAATTGCTTCTCCTGGCACTTTTTTATCCTTTTTTGGACAGCTTAATTTAATACTGCACTTTTATCTTGAAAAATGTGCTTTTCCAAATTTAGATGATTGACAGGGCTCTCTATTCCAAGGCTGAAACTGTGGCAGAAATCAGCCTTCCTTCTGGCCTCCTCTAGAAAAATCTACCATTCGCCCTATTAAATAGCCTCATCGTGACTTGTGGCGATGGGTATGTCCAGTAACTTGATTGTGGCGATGGCGTCACAGACGTTCAGGTATATCAAAAGTCATCAAATTATGCACTGTAAATATGTGCAGTTTATTTCACCTCACGTGTGCCTCAATGAAGCTGTAAAATATTTGTTAAAATCTACAATAAAATTTTTCAAAGCCTCATTGGACTACTTCAGGTAATATCTAGGGAAAACTTTCTCCCACTAACCCCTCTAATCAAATATCCTGCCTTCCTCAGAAGCACAAAGAGGCTGACAAGGGTCTGTCTGCCCCCCAACACACTCGGTTCCAGTCAGGGCTTTCATTGCCTCATCAAGCCCCACCCCCCCCAGTCCTCCCTCCTCTCGTGGCTCTGCCTGGTCCCTCATACATATACACGTTGTATATAGGTATAAATGTTACAGTGTGTAGCTGTTCCATGAGTTTTAGTCATGACTGCCCCCATGAGCTCTTACCATTCACCTCCCTAGATAGCTACATTCCAACCCTTCAGAGAATCGCCCTCATCTACTCTTCATCTTAAACTTACTACTCCGTCCTGCTACCTAATTCCAACATGGGCCTGTAACCTGGCTTCTACCTTTCTGCCCCACCCCTTTGGACAGCTTCTTGGATGGAACTGTCTGCAAGGCTCTGGATGGTTGGTTCTGCCCTTAGACAAAATCAGGTTCCCAAGTCCCCATCCAGACAGGGCACCCTGAGCCCCAGTTCTGGGGAGGCATTAGGACCAGGCCTCCCTAGGATGTGTCCGGGTCACCACAGAGAGCCCATTACAACCCATCAAGCCAGCTGCCTGCTGCTCAAGTCCAGTTATTCTTCTTTGAGCGAATGATAGGCAGGAAGGTGGAGTGTACCTCCAACACTGAAAAGGTACAATTCTCCCATTCTGAAATCACGACTTTGAAAAAAGAATAGCATCTGGAAAGCTGCCTATATAGATGTCAAAGTTCTGAAAACATGGTTTTATAAAGTCTGCAAGATGGATTGCTACCTAGTAAGACACCCAATGAGTGCTCTGAGAGAGACTGGGAAGAATGTCTCTGAGGAGAAGGAGGTAAAAAAGAAATATCTGGACAAATCCATAAAACTGTATGTTAGCTGCAATAATAACTAACATCTATTGAGTTCTTAGTGTGTTCTAGGCACCATTCTAAGCACTTTACATGTGTCATATGATTTAATCGTCACAACCACCAGAAGATTCATTCTTTATTATTATCCCCATTTTACAAATGAGGACCCTAAGGCACAGAAGAGCTCAAATACTTGCCCAAAACACTATAGCTAGTAATGGAGAGCAACAGGTTTCAGACTCTGGGCTCCGTGCTAGAGCACACAGCATGTAATTTGGGGACATAGGGGTCCATAGCAGAGGCCATCTCTAGGACGTGTCAGAAACAAGGACAGCAGGGGCTATGCCCTCACCCCCAGACCTGTTCAAACTGATGTTCCATGACACTCTGCAAAAACTGGGACAATGGAGCAGTGGTGCCAAATGACCTCTCAAATGTTTTCTAACTCTGAGATTTCATGATCCTGACATAAGCTTCACACAGTCTTCTGAAATCATCTATATCTCTCCATCAATGAAATGGGAATAATGAGTTCCAACTTCACTGTGTTGTAAAAATCTAATGCTAAGAGGTAAATGAATTGCATTGCACATAGTAGCTATTCAATAAATCTTACCTATTATAAGAAAGAGCAAGCTATATTGTGGAATAATTGAGGACAAAGTGAACTAAATTATTGATCACCAACAAGATGCCACTTTGCAGGTATGAACTCACTTATCCTTATGACAACCCAGTGAGGTCATTATTATCAGGATACTGAGCCTCAGAGGGACTGGATAGCTTGCTTACAGAAGCAGAGCCAGGATCTGGGTCTGACTTGAAGGCTAATTGTCCTGGCACTGGGCTAGGAGCTATGGGATATACTAAATAAATCCCTTACTTATAGCAACGTCTCAAGTAAAGCATGGCTGGAAACAGATGTGTGAAGTCCAGTCATCTTTGCTGATACACAGGTTGCTTCTGACTCATTAGCCAGTTTCCAGAAGAGGGAATGGAAGTGGAGGTATCCAACTCCTTCCACTCTCTCCTCTCAATTCCGTGCTTTAAAACATCAATTGCAATTTCACTTCCAGGCTGTTCTCCTGAGATGCCTTGCTTCACTGGTTGAAGGAAGACAGCTGCTACCCAGCCCATGGCCACATACATTTCTGAGCACCACCCCCTAGTCAGCAGCTCTTCTCTCAGGCTACAACATGAGAAATGAGCCCACATATCCCTTCCTACTGAATGCTTGTCAAAGGTAGTATCTTGTTGGCCTTCCTTAGAGTCTCTGGGGCTGTTCATGGATTCACTACCTTTTCCTCCCCTTCTCAGGGGCCTGGCTGGAAGGGCAGCTACAGGGGGTCTGGGGCTGGTATCATGAGAGCTGGAGAAATTCCATGGGTTTCTGTCAGGTCCAGAGAATTGCTAACTTTACCGCCCATACATATGTATTCTGTGAGGCAAAGCGTGCAAATTTGTCTCTGTCATTGTCACTGACTTATCACTTCTACCAAGGCAGCAAAAAGGCTCAAGATGTGACATCCACAGTTCTCTGCATTCAAAAATGAGCAAATGGGCACCAGAAAACACTGCTGGATTAAGGCGCAGGAGCCATTGTGCGAAGAATAGAAATTAATTTCTAAACAAGCCTTCTCTGCTTTAGGCAGGTCTTAGCCCCCTACAGTGTTGCAGCCAATACACGCTGGCTGATACATTTTCCAAACTGACAAGATGAACAAACTCAGAATCAAGGCTTCTTTCCTACTCTTCAACACATTTTCCCCAAATACTCATTGAAATGATAGAATTGCGCAACTTTCATTTTTTTTTATCAGAGCACTTTATTCATTCTTCCAGCAAATATCATCTCTTGTATCTGCTTTAGTTTTTCTCCACAGCATTTGTCACTATTTGATGTGCTATATATTTTACTTGTTTATTCATTTACAGACTGGCTCTTCACTGGCATATAAGATCCTTGATGGCAGGGATTTTTGTCTGTTTTGTTCATTGCCTTAACTCCAGCACTTAGAACAAGTCTGGCCCATAATAGGTACGCAATAAATGTATTAAATGGGTGAGTGAATGACATACAAGTGGCACCTGCTCTGTGCTGGGTGCTGGGGACACTGGTGCACAAGCCCGGTGCTGACTCTGCCCCCAAGGTGCTTTCTCCAAGCCTCATCTGTTCACTAACGAAATGTTGTTGACTCTAACAAGATTCTCAGAAGGGTTGATAAAAAAAAAAAAAAGTACTCCAGAATGCCAAGTAACTTACTCTGGAGAGCAGACGTCAGTGCTCCTAAGTTCCTTGGGCATCCCCCCACGGCAGGGGTAAAATGAAGAGGATGGCAGGCTTTCTGCTTCCTCCACTTTTTCCCTCTGATGAGTCCCAAGACCCCAGGCCGTGTGTCTTGGGCTGTCAAGGAGAAAGCTAAGCACTTCTACTTCATTTCGCAAAGGAATTCTGTAAACCTTCTCTCCAAACAGACCTTCTAGAGCATGCCATTTCACAACCAAACACCACAATAACACATTTTCCCAAACAAAAGAGCAATTCCTGGCTCTGTTTCATTCTACCACCACCAAATGATTTTGTTGCTCCTCAAGAATACAGAATCCACTGGGATCTTTTGGGGTTCTCTAGCAATTTACACATGCATAAACACAGATATTTGTGAATGTTAATAGCATACGGTACAGAGCACCAAATACTGAAGGCATTCCCTGAAGGCTTGCCCCCGATGCTCCAGGGCTCCCCGGGCAGCAGTCAGCCAGGGTAGCAGCACGCCACCCAGCATGCCACACTCAACAGGAGAAAGACCTGGTGTCAGGACAAAAGGCAGTCTAGCCAGAGTGCAATTGCTTGTATCAATTTAAATAAACCCAGGTTTTCAAACTCTGTGTTTAAATAAAAAATCTAACATCCAGGAACATGTTTTCTTTTTACCTCCATGCATATGAACAAATAGGGAAGTTGGAATTATCCTCTTCCAGCTCAGGGAGAAAACCTCACGAGTATTTATTACTTTCAGAAAAAAGAAACGTCAGTATAAATATATTACATGGGCAACAAATTATTAAGAAAGAAAACCAATCCAAAGCATAGACTTGCAGATATTAGAGTTGCTATCACAGAATAAAATAATCTTTATTTATTCATTCAATAACAATTTATTAAGTAGCTACTATGGCCCAGGTACTTTTCTAGGGGCATTGAAAATGCAGCTCTCAGAAGCCTCAGGAGCTTATATTTTAGTGAAAATAAACACCAAATAAAGTAAGTAAGTAAAATATATGTTAGATAGCGATAATTGCCATGGAGAAGAGTAAAACAGGGAGGGAAAG